CCTGCTCCTGACGGTGCTGCTCGTTCCCTGGAGCAGCTGGCGGCAGGTTCACTAAACCGCTTACCGCGCTCCCTGAGGCCATTTGTTCTTCAGTTTTATCAGTACACCGAGGAGACTCAGTAGGTTGAACTGAATTTTCAGCACCAGGCAGCTTGCTGGAAGAGGTCAGGTCAAGGCAGGACTGCTGAGGGGTGTTACTCACAGGCTGCTCCCGAGCCCCAGGCAGAGCTAAAGCATGCACAAGAGGCTTGACCACAGCTTCGCTTGGATTACATTCCTCAGCGCTCTGAGTTTCTTCTTCTTTCCCCTGCAATACTGTTTCATCCTTGTTCTTTTGGGGTACGTTATGGAATTGACCTTGCAATGCTTCGGGAAAAAATTCCAATTTATTCAAATTTTCATCCACTTTGACTGCAGTTTGTGTGGATTCTGTCTGTGCTGGACTGCCTGTGTTGGAACATCCCATTGCTGACGTGCTGGTACTAGAGCCCTCCAAGTGGCCCAGGGGTACAAGGAAGGGCGATGCCCCCCCGACGGTCAGTGGCTGGATACCCACTTGGTCACTGGTGCCTTCATGCTGCTCATTTGCACCAGGCTCTGCGGTGCTAAGCGGGGTTGTGTGCCCAGGTGCACGTGCGTGATTCTGGGAAGAATTTGTTTTGAACATTTCAGGAGGCTTGAAAGTCTGGTCAACAAAAAGTACATGTTGTTCTGATGTTCTGTGAGGGGAATCTGCAGGCTGACCTTCTGAAACATGCCTAACTCCTGTGCCACAGGAAGCACCAGCCTTTTGTTCATTTCGTTCGTATTGGGGCACCTCTACCAAAAAATCAGCTAAAAATGGATCCTCATTAGATGGAATGAATGCCTCTTTGTGCCCTTCTATCTCTGCCCCTTGGTGTATGTTTTGGGGTAGATTCCTACATGTTCTGGTTTCAGGAGTCTCACTTAAATCAGGCCATTTCATTAGGTAACTGCAATTCTGTGTACTAGAAACGACTTGAAAATCTTTACAGTCATTTTTTGAAAGACGGTAACAGTCAGAATTCATGTCACTCTGTGTGTTCAAGTCTGAGTGATTTCCTTTTCCCTGTAAATTCTCTTCAGTACTTTTAGGTATAGCCTCAACAGAAAAGTGTTCGTCATGTGCAAACTGACTGACGTTTTCATCACAGTAATTTCTGGGGAAAAAGTCCTTCTGTTCAGGGAAAAAAGCAAGTTCGTTTCTTGATGAATAACAGTCTCTAACACTAGAGTGTTCACCAGTATCTGCATCTGTACATTTAGTTATACTTTCATCTATCAAGGATATGTTCTGATCAGTATGAAGTAATCGTCCAGCAGACTCATCTGACATATAAGGTGGTTTTTCTTCGTCACGACTCCGAGCACTTCTTACTCTTTGAGGAGAATCCCCGTGATGGGTCTGCAGAGCAGCGCTAGCGGGTGGCGTTCCTTCCTGGGCAGCAGACATCCCAGCAGAGCCACCATCGCCAGTTAATGTTCGATCTGTTTTTCGCTCCAAGCACTTCTCTACACTTAATACTCTATTTGCTGAAATATGAGTGGCTGGTGGTTCTTTTTTATTTCCAGTGCTGGAACCTTGACATGTACCAACTGTTTCTACGCCCTGTAAAAAAGAAATGTTTCCTATGCATGCACTGTTACACGCCTCATCTGTTTTTAGGAGGGTACTAGAGACACTGCAATCTTCTTTCTCCGTTCTTTGTCTCCTAGCTGGCTGTATAATAGGTTCCTGCTCTTCTCTTAAATTCACTGACACAGGATGACCAGGACAAGCCTCCCGTACTAAGCTCAGTCCTGTGCCTGTGACATCCTTTGGCCTAATTTCTAAACTTGTGATCCCCCGGTTTTCAAATGGGACCTGCCAGTCTGAGTCAGCTTCAACAAGAAGCTTCCACAGCCTGTCATGCACTGCCAATAAATCAGCGTCTCTTTTGTGCCCGTCTTCTCCAGATTCCTGGACTGTCTCGCCGCCAGCTTCAAGCTGATATTCTGCACATGATACAACATGGAGAGCATCTGTGTCATTGCTGCGATGTGAGTCAAAACTGCCCCTTTGCCCTCTCTCCTCTGGCTCATTGCATAGCTTTGCGGGAGACTGAAGTGCACATAAATATTCCTGTCTGTCAGGAGCAGAGCCTGCATCCCATAAAGAACAAGCTGAAATGTCATTCGTTGACTTGCTGCCATTGCTAGTAGTATTAATTCCTTGTTCCCAGGGGAATTCTTGCTGATGACTTTCACTCTCATGACACGGATCGTGGTGTTGAGAGTACGTTTGTAAAGCTGCATCTTTTGCTCGTAGTGCGTTTTCGGGGCAGAGCATCTCTGACGCTGGCTCGGTGCTGACTGCACTCTCACCAGGCATGAAGACAGCTTCCTCCTCTGTGCCAGGCTCCATGCATCGTCCTGCATCGTTCTGGCTAAAGTTATTGGGACTGGCATCTTGGCTCTATCAAGAAGAAAAAAGCAAGAAGGAGAAATATAAAATACAATGTAGCTAAGCATTAGGACCCCTGCTTGACTGGATCCAAATGCAGAGGAATATAAATTTGATCAAGGAGAAGACCAACGACCAATGATACAGTTCAGCCAGTTAAAACCAAATAAAGTTTTTTTAAAAAACCCAACAATGCCTGTACTTGCAAAACTGACAGGCTGGGGCCCTACTGTACAGTAAAAGTAGAGCATCATGAAAAAGACATGAAACGAGCCAAAGACTCACTGATATTTATTATGCCAGTACTGAGCTGAAGGGATAATGGAAAGAGAAAGAAAAAAGTTCATAGAGAAAGGAAATGTTCATAGGAAAGCAAGTGGAGATGTGGGAGAGAAAACGAGGGAAGGAAAACGGCCTCCAAACGTATCTGAGGTGCTTGAAACGCCCCTACCAGAGGGACGGGGGTAAAACCCGCGCCGACACGTCCCATCCCCAGCCATTTCTAGACCTACCTGTTTCCAGTGCCCGTAATGAGCACACGAGGAACGATCACCTATTCAGCTCATGAGTGTCAGGAACTATCTAGGCAACTCTTCACCTTGCAGGCCTCTTTGCAGGGGTGGCCACGGACAGAACTAGAGGAAACAGCCACAAACTGAAACACCAAAAGTTCCACAGGAACTTAAGGAAAAATTTCTTACCAGTGAGGGTGCCAGAGCCCTGGAACAGGCTGCCCAGAGAGGTTATGGAGTCTCCTTCTCTGGAGATCTTCAAACCCGCTTGGACGCAGTCCTGTGCCACGTGCTCTAGGTGACCCTGCGTGTGCAGGGGGGTTGGACTAGATGATCTCTAGAGGTCCCTTCCAACCTTCAGCATTCTATGATTCTATGATTCTATGGAGCTATGAATATCTCAGTTTGCTTTTTGGTTCAGTTTTCTGGGGTTTCCTGCCATACATTTTAACAGTTGCTTCAATTACTGGACCATCTGCTTGGCACAGGATGGTAACAAACTGCACAGAGCTTAACTGAGTGACTGCGGCAGAACGAGCTACCCTAATTTGTGTGCAAGGAGCTGCCTGCTGTGCAAGGGCAGACAGAAGAAACAGCAGCCACGTCCCGCCGTTATAAAGCCCTGGTTACTGTGAGTAATGGAGCGATGAGAGACAAGTCACCGATCTGATAGCCGTGCACAAGGAAAGCGGAAACAGCCACCCCAAAATCAGAGCCTGCTGTTTACAAAGGCTTGTGCAATCAGGACCCTCTCTGGGTTATCTCGCTCTGCGAACAAGACTCACCATGTTCCAAAGCCTGCCCAGAACTAAGGAAAAATGCAAAGCGAAGACCATGGGAAACAAGTGGGACCTTTAGGCATCTCCGAGTTATGGAAGCAAATAGGGAAGAACATGAAAAAGACAAGAAGAAATGAAAAAGGATCCTACTTCTTGATGTCTATGTGAAACCTGGAGCATTTTCATCTCTCCGCCTCTGTTTGGAGCGTTGACCCCAGTGATGGCCTAAAACCTGCAGCCATGCACAGCCTCCCCGCTTCACAAGGGAGGCGAGGACGGAGGACAACAGAGCCGCCTAGGAGCACGGACAGACCAGGAACAGAATAAAACAGAGCAGTGAAAAAGGAAGGGCCAAGGTGTCACTCCAGAGCCAAGTCTTCCTCACAGAGACAATGGAGGGAATGGGCTAGTGCTTCATTTCCCACACTCAGATGAGACTTTCTAGGGAAGGTCTCGCACCTTCCCCTGGGGGCAAGGATTCAGGGCGGGGGGCCACATCTTACCTGCTCTGGGTCAGGCCACTACAGACACAAGGCTCCAACCCCACCACAGGGCTTCCCGGACCCGCAAGTCGTTGGAGGGGGCAGCATGTTCTGGAGAAACACCACCTCCTTCGTTTTCCCTGATCATTGCCTGCGTGTTGCACCTGAGGGATGCCTGGTGTGACCCACTCCAGCTGTTTTACACAGCTGGATGAGTGTGTATCTCAAACACTGTAACTTATCAGCAAACATGTGATGCAGGTTCTAACATTTTCCCTTTTTCTCCTTCCCCTGCAGTTCTTCCTCCCGAGGATACACAACGTTATAGTAAAACTGACCTCCTGGCCTGACTCTTCAGCCTAAGTTGGGCCAGTTCATTTTCAGATGTACAGATTTGCTGGACAGTCTCCCTTGTCATCCACCTTAGTTGGCAACACATTACCTTTTCCTTTTCTTTTTTAATCGTTTTACTGCCATACTGTGCTAATAGAGTGATGAGTAAGTATGACAGACGTGTATGTTTAAATCAGGACTAGATCAAAGACACAATTTCCCTAAAACATGATGCTCTGGCTCTGAAAGGCCTTGACGTCCTTGTGGCAATAAAATGAAATCTGTGTATGTTGGCAGGGTGTCTTGGCCCTGCCTCAGGTTTTGTTCCTTGTGCTTGGTGCCTCGTGTTCACTCCCCTTTTCTCCGTCGTTTGCAGTGGATCCTCTGGCAGTTTCTGCGAGTCGAGGGGGAAGTTCGTGCCGCGGGTCCCCGCGGGGCCTGCCCGGCTGGCTCAGCCCACCCGTAACACACGCTGCTCGGCAGTTGTCTTCGAGCAGCACTGAGCTAACGGGCAGCAGGGAATCGCAGGGGCCTTCCACACAATGCTGCAGAGACGAGCTGTGCTGCAACATGTATTACTGCATCACGGAATGCCCAGGAATGCTGTGGGAAAAGCAGGAAGTTTGAACAACTAAGAGCAATCTACGGGCATCCTGGTTCCAGGCTTGTGCCTGACACACTGACCCAGAAGAAACATCAGTTACTTGTTTTATAAAGGTAAACACTAGTCTGGGCCAGTCCAGAGCATGGCTGGTTTTCATTTTAAGTTTCTTTCATAATTTTTAGCAGGAAACTGTTTGGTCTGTGGGAAGTGCTGAATTTCCACTATGAAATGTGAGATCTTCACTTACAGATAAGGAAGAATAGCACAGAAAACCCGACTGGGAGTGGCTTTTGCTGGAGGTCAGGGGAAGTTTAGGTAATTACCTTCATTAGTCACTGTCGGGGTTCTCTAGCAAAAGCAGCTACAGAGAGGCCAAATCACACAGGACGCTCTGGCAATGGGGGAGCTGCTCCGGAGCGCGAGCCCAACGCCGGCAGCGTCAGATCTTGGCCACGCGTGAGCACCATCTCCACCTAACGCAACGGGTTTGTTCCTGGAGCGAGAAACCGTCCCCTCGTGTGCCAACACAAGGACCTCGTAAGGCTATTCTGGCTCTGCTCCCCTACAGAACTGCAGGGTAATTCATACACCAGGCTCTCCCCAGATCAGCGGAACACTTCCAGCTCAGCTGATGAAATGAACACAAGAGGTTTATCCTCCAAACGAGACGATGAATTCCCCCTCATTGTTTCTCCCTATTTCTAAAGGGGCAGTAGTGCAGGAAGGTCCTGTTCCACTTGAGATAAAGTCTTCGGGTTGCTTTACATCCCTCTGCTAACACAAAGGACTGTAACGAAGCACGCTGAGAACATGGGCAATAAGCACAGGCTGCCTCTGGACGAGGACGCCCTCGCGTTCCCCGTGCTTGGAACCGCTCCTGGTTCGCACTGCTCT